ATGTGGGGTATCTGGCCTCTATGGAGACCAGAGATCAACTTTGGGCATCTTTCTCTATCACTTTCTAACTCAATGTTTCAGAGAGAGAGGGTCTCTCAGTGGACATCTATTTCCCCATTTGCCATTTCACGTAGTCTGGCTGACCAGCAAACCCCCCAGGATCTGCTGGCCTCTGTGCTGAGGTTAGAGGTGCTCACACCACACTGGGCTTTTACATGGGTTCTGAATTCAGAGCCTCATGCTTGTACATCAGGCATTTGAGCTGCTAACATCTCTTTGGTCCTCCCTGGGTCTTCCTGTCCAGAATCAGTCAGCCTTGTCTTTCAGACTGCTGACCATCATCCAAGACCTGAACCAACTTCTCAGGCTTCTCTGTGTCTCTGAGATGACTCCTCCATCCTACAGAGAGGCGGTCCAGCTGCACGACTTGGGCTGTCCCTAGAGGGAGGGTTCTCAACACCTTTGTCCTTCAGGGTTTTAAAGAGATGCTGGGCTATGTCCCCCCATGAGTTACAGTCCATAAGCACCTGCACAGCACCCCGAATTATCTACAACACAGCTTCTACCTGTCCCCATAGTTTGTGTTTTCTGTGCCTTTTGGGTCTAATCTCAGGTACCTCACTGGGTGCTTCACACTTCACATCACACACACACACACACACACACACACATACATACATACACACACACACTGAGCCTTTACGTTAGCAACTTGACTTTTGCAGGGACGGCCAAGTGGGCGCTCTGGTCACTTTCTACTTCCCCCACTTTGAGATAGCAGAGCAGAAGCAATCCAGACCCCAGAAAGTGCTAAGGACGTCAGAGGCACCACCAGGACTTAAAAGGCAAAGGTGTGCTGGGCCCCTGCAAGAGCCAAATGGGCGGTGGCATACGACAGCAGCTTTCCCTGAGCTTGGCCAGAGGGTAGCATCAATAGCAGCTGCTGGGACAGATGCAGGGGATTTGCTGAAACAAATCAACACAGCCTTTGGCAGGGAGCTGCAGTATGATCTGGCCAGCGGGGTCCCAGAGAAAGTTTCAAAAGTCACTTTCTCATGGCAAAGATGGGAACTTAGTTTACAGCCCTCCCTAACAGCTACATGAACTCGTCAGGACCCATTATTAGGTAACTCACAGGAAGATACCTCTGCAGTATTTGCCCCTCCTCTGTGTTGGTAGCACCATACTATCAGCAGCCTTGAGTAAGTATGGCTACTCCAGATGCTGGGCCAAGGCACACGAATGTGTGAAAATGTGGGAGATGAACTCCCTTCTCTGTCCTGGGCTTCTCAGACGATAGCACCTGAGGCAAGTCTTAGGCGCCTCTGTTGTATAGTGAGTAGCATCCTAGGGGAGCAGGGGTGGAAGAGGGTGCATGAGGCTAGGAAGCTGAAAAGCCCTTTCATACGTGGCATTAACTGCACCTGACCCGGTATTGTGAGACCACATTTCAAAATGCCTAAAAAAGATCTTCAAAATGGAGCTGGAGGTATAACTCAGGGAAGAACGCTTGTCTGCTGTGTGCTGGCCCCGGGGGTATTCCCAGGAGGGAGGGAGAGAGGCAGAGACCAAGAGTGAGAACAAGGTGAAGAAGTTACTTTCTTGGAAGAAAGAAAACGTATTAGCCACTGGCTTAAAATAATGGGAAGGGAGCGTTTAATTCTGTTGTGCTTGTAGACAGAACGGGGTCCAGGGCCAGAGAGAACATTCAGGTGCTGGCAGGGGAGTGATGGACGCTATGCACATACATGACAAAAGGGAGGCGGGAGGGACATGTGAACAGGGCACGGGCCCAGGGTGCGTGCTTAGGAGCCCTTTGGCACACCTTCCTACCTGTTTTCTCTCGTCCCCCTCACTCTTGGCTTCTCAGATTTTCACATCCATCCTTGGGTGGCATGCTGAACAAGTTTTCTCAGCCTTCTCTGCGCAGACATAGTCAAGGTCATCGGAATACAAGCCCCTTGGGCGGCAGCTGTGTGGGACAGTCACGGTTATCTCTCGGTTAGCCAAGAGGCAGCCCTCTTCTCTGACTATTTTAATAAGTTCACTTCTAGCCGGCCAGTGAAGTCTGCTTGTTCTGCTGATTAATCAGATACACAGGGCTGTCCTTGTGTACCCTGGGAGATACAAAAGACAGACACTTCATACCCACGTACTGAAGAAAGTCCCGTTCAGAATGGCGTGCACTGATTCTTGGTAACCTCTTTCCAAACAAGGCCTGAGATGCGTCTCCCAGGTTCCTGTGCCCTTCCAGCTGCTGGAGATAGTCTGAAGAATGCCCTTGGAGACAGAACCTTCTGGAACATTTGGCTGGATTCTAGGGAAATGGACAGCCTATTCGTTTAGTTCAGTTCTGGAGAACTTGGGACGTTAAATCCCTGGTCTCCACAGTCCCAGTCTTGCAGATTGGCCTGAAGCGTGGTAAACAATTTAGACTAGCTAGAGTATGACATGATGCTTCCTTTTGGCTATTTCTACAACTTGACATTGAATGGGAGGAAATCACTTAAGCCCTCGCAGCACTGTCTGGCAGGAGGTGGAATGCCTTGCTTGGCTTCCTGCCCCATCCGTCCCATACCCATAGCTGAGGCTACCGGCCTCCCCTCCTTCCCCCCACCCCCGCCCACAACCCACTTTAGCTCCTAGGCCTAAGAGAGCCCCCATCCCCTCATCAATTTTAGGCCATAACTTCCATCTTCAGGCCAGATTCCAAGGTAATAAATAGTCTTCTCATCTCTGAACATGGTCTGTCTTCTTAGACAAAGTAGACACAAATCAACACTATTGGCAAGGGTCTCTTTCCTGACCCTATGTGAGGAAAGGTTTGCAGGGACCCTGGTCTTCAGATGCCAAGGAGTTGGATGTTAGGCGCTTACCTAGAGTCAACAAATGTGCACGCAGGACTTCCCTGAGAGAGTAGGAAAGGAACCGGATGCATTATCCACTTTGTGCTTTGGATCGATACACTGAACCATAGCAAGCCCATCAGTTGAAACGCTGGTATGCCTTCATCCTGCGGACAACACGGGACTCGGGCAGGCCAGGCTTGCTGCACAATCCCATCTTATCTGAGTAATTAAACTTTCTCTGTGTACTACATAAGTGCTCTTCTCCGCCATCCTTTAAACACAGCCTTCTCTCTCCATACATATTTTGCTTGCCTGTTTGGAACAGGTTGATGAGCTCACAACCTAGCTCCACTCTTTCTTATGAGTAAAGACAGACAGACTTCAAGTGTGGTATTAAGTGGAACTGATTCTTTTGTCTTGGTGTTGGGAGAATCAGGAAATGGTGGTGAACTGGAGAGTGTTGTCTTAACTGACTCAGTTCCAATAAAATCTGGTCTAGAGAATATAGGCAGATTTACCTGAAATTTTAAAATCCATAAATCTGAGTTCTAAAGAAAGGTTTATTTTTTGATTTGTGTGAGACTCTCTCTTTCTCTGTATGTGTGTGTGTGTGTGTGTGTGTGTGTGTGTGTGTGTGCATGTGTGCAGAGGTGCCCACAGAGGGTAGAGGAGGTAATAGGTCCCCGAGAGATGGAGTTACAGGCCAGGTCATTGTGGGATACTCTGTGTGGGTGCCTGGAATTTAGGTCCTCTTCAAAAGAAGCGCATTTTTTTAACCTCTGAGCCATTCCTCCAGCCCTGCCATCTGGATCTTAATGGACATTTTATAATTAGAAAATATTGTTATTATTAACCCTTTAATTTGGAAGCTATTGTCCAACAAACCAATCCAAACTAATCTGTGGGCCACATAGAGCCCAGGGCACCAGTTTATTGCTGCTGGCCCTAACTATCCAACAGAACCGCCATAGATGCTGCTGTCTTCTCAGGTAAGATCTATTCAGGAAGTCGGTTCCAGGTCCTGCTGATGCATTTTTGCAAGAAATACAGACCCGAGAAAGCCATTCCCTGTGGTTAGCGACTTATAACAACAGTTATGCCCATCCCAGAAAGCTGCAGTGGGTTGGGAGAGAGAGGGCTCACATCCATAGTCAGTGTGAATGGATGTTGTCAAAGCCATTTAAATTGGACAGTGTTCTTAAAACACCGTATCTTCCTCGTTAGTTCCTCAAAGCCCTCCTGGCTCTGGGGTCACTTTGGTTCCTTGTGCCTTAGTTCCTTAAGAGCCTATGGTCCTGCCTATATTGACCCTTGCCATCTGAGGATATGATCAGGGCAGTGCCAACAGCAGGGTAGACACACTGCTGATCACTGTCCTGCACCGGCCACTCTGAGAATTCAGTGTAGCTTACTAGCGTCTAGACTCTCTGGCCTGAGCAGGGACGTGTCCTCACCTCCACTTTTCACGCAGTGCACTAGTAACTGCAAGTATTCCTGGGGAGACTGTGTCCAAGAACTGAGCTCCCGATTCCTGTCTTCTGTGTTCCTTGTTGGTTAAGTGGTCTATTGTCTCCCCAGGAGGCAGGTAACACAAGTGACCTGGTGAACGCTGAGACTTTGCCCTTTCCTCCTATATTGGGTCTCCAGCCCTGTGTCGCTCACTGGGTGGATCTCTTGGTAAATCGGTTGCCTCCTCCTGACCTCAGTTCCTCCATCATTAACTTGGGGACAGGCGGGCGGAGGCTAGATCAGGTTTCTGAGGGCTGCACCCCTTGATCAAGGTTTTGAGATTCCAAAATGTTCAGGGAACACACAACGTCACCTTCAAAGTCCTACCTCTGTGCACGACTTCTATCCCCCCACTGCAGCTACTCTGGGCATGCAAGCGGGACCCTGGCTGGCGTACTGGGCGTGGCACAGCAGCCGGGAAACACTTTAGTTGAGTGGCTTTGGGACACTGCAGCTCTTTTCTGAGCTTTAGTAGTCATGTAAGGAAACCCCAGCGATTCCAGCCGACCTGGGTTGTGGGGGGCTGTGTCGGCACGCGGGGCTTTCTTTGCGGGTTACATAACACCTGGGGGGGGGGGGAAGAGGGGGGGGGGGGGTGGCTCGGGGGGGACCGGCGGCGAGGTGGGGCACCGAGCGCGCGTGGGGGAGCGCAGGGCGCGGCGGAGTCGGGTTTCAGTGCGCGGGTGAGTCAGGCGCGGGCGGCAGCCGGGATCCTGCCGTCGCCACCGAGCGCCGCCTTTGTTCCGCGCGCGAAGCGGAGCTGGGGCCCGGCGACTGAACCATGGCACCCAGGTAGGACCCGCGCCCCGAGCCCCGGCGCCCTGGCCTTTGCCGCCCCGCCGCCTCCTCACCTTCTCTGCCACCGCTTCTTTCAGGAGGACCGCGCAGGACCGGCGCCCGCAGTGGCTGCTCTCCATCATCTCCGCGCTGCTCTCCGCAGTCCTGCAGACGCGCGCCGCGACAGGTAAGCCACGGCAGCCGCCAGTTGCGCGCCCGGGTGGCGCGGCACCTCATTCCTGGACATAAAAGGGAGTGCTTGCTTAGCGCAGCGCTCTGGCTCTTCTGCCCTGGGTCCACCCGGGTCCCGGGGTTTCTAGGCGCCGGGGAGATCGCTTCAGACAGGGCACGCAGAGTGTCTGAGCTGGACGCGGCTCCCCAGTGAGGGCAGAGAGGGGTTTTGGCTGCACAGTGACACCACACTGCCAGAAAGGACAGGGTCACCAACAGTGTTGGGCATCCGAGTCGAGTTCCTGGCGCTTCGGGCTCGGGTTGAGCAGATCCTAAGTCTATTAGCTCTATAGAAAGCACAGTCACCGGCAGGGACACTGGCTCTCTGGTCTCTCCTAACATAGCAGAACAGAATAGCACACATGCTTGGTTTAGCGGGTTACCAGAGGTCCCCCTCCACCTTCCCCATCCCTGAGAGGCGCGGTGAATGATGAACTAAGCCTGAGCAAGTGACCCTTCCTTCTGTTCTTTGTGCCTCACTCTATCCCCCCGCCCCCGTCGCCAACCAGGACTCAGAAACTGTCGAATTAAAGTGGATTTGGGTTAAAGTCTGGCTGTCTGGGTGTGAATCACGCCTCTGTTGGGTGGCCATGGATAATACTTTTCGTATCCATGTGCCTCAGTTTCTTCATCTGAAAAGGATAAACTAGACCCACTTACTACTTCCCATGGATATTTTGAAGTCTAACGAACAGATGGGGGAAAAAGAGTTCTTTCCATGCTTCTGAGTACTGAGCAGTCAGAAAATAAGAGCAGAAGATATCTTCCTCTTCGCAGGAACTTGTGTGCTGGGAAGTACTGCAGCTGCGGTGGGGAGACCTAGGAAATGCAGGCAGCCCTGAAAGCCAGAACTCAAGCCCAGCTGGGCAGGTTCGGGTCCCTGTTCAGTCTTCCCACTATGTGCTTAGCAATACCAGGCTTTGGGAACAGCAGCCTCTCAGCCCTTAGAGGATTAGCACATAGCCCAGATGAATAAATGAAGGCTCAGGAGTGTGTCATGGTCCTCTGATGGAAGCTGGGCTGGGATTGGTGGCCTTGTTTAACTCCTTAGGTACTCGAAGAAGCCTGGTACCACCCGGTCTGTGGTATGTGAGGGAATAAGACGCAGATGCAATGATAGCTCTTCCTGCCAGGGCGTCCAGCCTGGCATTTCTTGCAGATCAAAGGGCAGTTGGAACAGAGTTCTGGCTTCTCTCAGGATGACCAGTGTGGAAACCTTGCAATTTCCCATATGATATAGGGCTTTGCCAAGCCAACTGCAGAGGGCAGCTCACAACATTCAGTGCCCCTTTGGGATCTGAAGAGGACTCTGGGAGCCCTGAGCTCTATAGATTTTGTGTGCAGCTTACATGACTAGCTCTCATCCAGTCGTGCCTCAGATGAGGTCTGAACAGTCTCCCATCTCAGTAATCATTCCAGGGGCTGGGGACTGAGGACCTTAGCGCTTCCATTCTGAGAACGCTGAATCCAAGTCAGTTTTCCAAGTGTCTGGGGTAGGATTTGACTCGGGTATCCTCACTCCAGAGATTTTGTTGTCAATCATCAAAGGAGTCTCCCAGGGATGGCCTTAAGGTCCCCCAGTCTCCTGTGAATGGCGTAATGGGAGTGTCCTACTCATGACAGGAGCCCAGTGCATCTCCAAAGCTCTTGTAGCCTGCTGTGCTGGAGGGTCATTTCCATCTGGAGGCCCAGAGGGGCAGGCAGTTTGCCTAAAGCCCCTCATTTGTTCCAAGATAGATTTGTGATAACCTGCAAGTGTAGGGGAGAGATTCTTTCCACAGGGTCACTGCTCAACTGGCTATTAGGGGAAAGAAAAGAATAGAATAGAAAAAGGAAAGGAAAGGAAAAAAGAATGGAAAAGAAAAGAAAGAGAAAAAGGTTGTAATTCCAGCACTTGGAATGCTAAGGCAAGGGGATCACAGCTTCAAGGCTGGCCTGGGCTACATAGATAGACGATTTTTCAAGCAACCCCAAGACTTTGCAGTTTTATGGGAGTCAACAGAGCTCACACCAGCTCCACAGATGCAGTTTCACGGATGAGGCTACTGAGGCAAAGTCATTTGCCCAAGAGCACACGACCTTCATTGGCAGAAGTACAGCTGGAAGAATTTATGCTCTTGACCACTAAGCTAAATGTTTAAGCTTGTTTCATGTCCCCAATAGTTAAGCAGCTCCTTAAGCACTCAATATTGATTACACCACTCCCTAGTGAGTCTACTTGTTAAATGTCAACTCAAGAGAAGGAAAACCATACTCTCCCTCAAAAGCTTTGATGTAACCATTTGTAAAAGCACTATACATAATGGAAAAGCATAGAAACAAACTGGCTCATTGACTGTTAAATAAATAAATTATGGTATGTCCTTTCAATGGGATACTATTCAGCAACGAAAAGGGAGGAAGCACAGAGCCGTGCTACAACATGGTAAGTGTACGTGGCCAGATAAGAGCCTGCGTGTTGTCAGAGCTGGAGGGCATTCATGACGGCTTAGTCCTAGGGAAAGAAGCAGGGGCCACTAAGGTGGGCAGCTGGGGACTTTGTATGGGATGATCCAAGGCTGGGCTGTGGTGGTGGCTGTGCTATCACACAGATGTGGTAGCCGACCTGGCTGCCTTCAGCACGAGCTGCACACTAGACCTCAACAAAGCTGTTTAGAAAAACGAAAGACTGCACTTCGCAGGCCTCTAGACTCTGGTGAGACCCATGGTCTGGTTCCTAGGAAGCCTGCGGAGGGTCTGCACCTGGCTGGCCATTTACAGACTGCCAGCCCCATCGAGGACTGCTGCCCCCTGAAGGCTGATCTCAGTCCAGGCTGCTTCTCCAGGTCTCAAGCTCTGTTGTCTGTGCTGTCCCTGGATGTCACCATAGGCAAAGCTCCTAAGGGTTGGAGCCCAGATGTATAGTAATCTGTGGACAGTGGATTTATTAAAAAGTAGATCTTTGTAAACTTCCTAGTTGCCTCTCCCCCGTCCAGTTTTGAGTATTGGAAAACCCAGGTTTCATCTGTAAACTGAGATGACTAACTTCTCTTTCTGAGCCTCAATTTTCCCATCTATGAAACGGGATGGCAAGATTTGCTCAGCCTTGTCTTTCTAGCTTTGAATAATGGGAAACAAGATGGCATTTACTCCAGATTGCGGCTTACTTAGGTTCAGCAAACGGATTAAAGACCTAGTCAGCCAGGCCTCCTGCAGACTGGGGATACAAAGGAGCCAGATCCAGATCTCTCCCAAGGGATTCTGAATTCACAGTCAGAAAGAAAGGCCACACCTCATCCCACATGTACCTCATCCTGAGGGCAGCCACCCTTCCCCTCCTACATCCCTGAAGCATCACCAGCATGGCCCCCTGTGTCTCTGAGGGTCAGGGCTAGTCTGCAGGATTGCCCTGTGGGTTTCTCTCCTAAGGAAGCTAGCTTGATTGGAAGAGCTGCTGTTTCGGAGGGTGAGGACCTTTGCTGGAGCAGGCACGGTGCTACCAGGCCTGTCAATAAGTGTTGATGTGTGCAAGTCGGCTGCTCTCTTGGTTTCTCATGAACTAGCACCTCACCTCCATTCAGAAGCGTGCTGCCCTGAAGTACAGCCCAGCAGAGAAGAGAACACCCAGGGCTTTGCTCTGCTCTGGTGGGGGTGGGGGCTCCCCACCTTTCAGGGGTGATTGCCACCTGAAATTTTATAGCCGTCACTTCCGTTCGCTTAAAAACAGAACTTGAAGTAAACACACCTCCTTCCATCCCGGGCTCTGTCTTCCTTGATTCTGAGCCTTTTCCATGAAAAAATGTACTTTTCTGTTTCGAGTTCTTTTGAGCTCCATGCATGAGGCAAATAGTTTTTTTCCACTGTAATGCAATAGTCCACACCACGGCTATAGCTACTGTGACTTACCGCTTTTCTCCAACAGCATGTGGGCTGCCATGGACCCGTGGAATCTGCCAGTGTGGTGCGACTGTCCTTATGTGTCTCTCAGGACACACATGTATACATTTCCTCTAGTTTCCCTCGGTGTGGTGTTGGGTCGCAGGAGCGCACAGTCTCCAGACACACAGGTGCTGTTGGCGTGCTTTCTTCTGTGTTTGTACCCAAGACACATACACATCGGGAAGTAGAGCCCCCATCCTCATCTCCTGGCCAGCATCCAGCCTCATGACTGCATTTACTGTCATTACTTCTAACAGGTGCGGTTAGAATCTTAATGAAGCCTTAATTCCTGTCCAATTAATTCCTGTCACATGTGTGTGAGTGTGTGGGGGTGTCTGTGCGTGTGTGTGTGTGTTGAGGGCAACCTTGGCTGTTCCTCTGGAGCTATCACCTTGTGTTTGAAGACAAGATCTCTCTCTGGCACTGTTCACTGACTGGTGTCTACTGTGTGTCCAGCTATCCCTAGGGATCTTCCTGCCTCCACCTCCCCAGTACTGGTGTTACAAACGTGCACTGTGCTGTTTTTCTCATGGATGCTGGGGATGGAGCTCAGGTCCTCATGCTTTGTGACAGACACTTCATCCGTGGGGCCATCTCCCCAGTCGAGTTGGTCAAACTTTTGTTTGTCTATGAACTATTTGAAAAAGTGATGAGGAGTTCATTTTAAAATACGGAGATGGGGTCTCCCACAGAACCTGGCGTTCACAGGTTAGGACGGACTCGCTGGCCAGCAAGCCCCAGGGATCCTCCCGTCCTCGCCAGCCAATCTCTGTTTGAACATACTTCCATTCTACTTTTTCTGGTGCTCTCATATTCCCTTAGGATTCTGCCCAGAGAATTCAACCTCTCCTCCCAAGCATCTTGGGTGCCTCTCAGTGACAGGGAGCCCATAGTACATGGTGAGCACTGACAACCCCTGCATCCTCTGCTGCAGGAGGAACCATGACACAGGCCTGGGTCTTGTCCACCTCTGAATCCCAGAATCTCAGACAGGGTCTGACATCAGTGGACACTCAGTGAGGCTTTTTAATAAATCGA